TTGCAAGACAAGCTGGAGAGGAGGAGAATCCGCCAGCCGGGAAAGGTCTGGGGATGGAGTTCCTTTCGGGAAGACTCTGTAAAGTGGGGAGGGGGGCTTCCAAGGAAGGAGACCACGGTTGACTTGGGGAGGGGGGTGTCTGGCCAGGAAAGACAGGCCTATCTTGCTGGGGGGGGGGCGCAGTGTTTTGAGTTTTTTTCTGAAAGTTATTCTTCACCCAAGGCTCCTGAGAGAGGCTTCTCTAAAGATCTGGGATCTGGATTGTGGGGTTCACGCTATTGTTGGGCCCCCCTTAAGGGCACAGAAGGAGCTGCATGCACCCCTAAACGGGAAGGGGGAGGTTTGCAAAGACTTGAACCATGGAATGACCTCGTGGATAGATAACACCCAACAGGCGCCATCCTTGGCAGGTTGTCAGAAGGGACCTGCTCTTGCTTTTTCTGCCACTTCAGCAGGGTGGGTGGGGGGCTCTTTTAAAAAGGCTGGGGGGGGAGGCTTTGATAGTAGGGGTGAAGAGCAGAATCAGAGATTACCTGAAAGGTGTTTAAAGGGTAGGTTTCCTGGCCTAGGGTCCAGCTTAGAAAACAGGAAGAAATGAGAAGGGGGAGATCTTTTTTGATGGGTGGGGCAGCTTCGAAGGACTGGAGGAACTTCACAACACCCCCCAATTCTCCACCCCTGTGGCTGGGAACCCTCCCTTTTCTAGGGTCATTCCTCCTACCAGTCCTTCTTGAATTAATTATCCGGATAATTCAGATATTGGGAAGGCCGTTCTGCAGAGCAGAACACCCCACTTTTTCTTCCTCCTGCACCCCTCCGTCTCCGGCGGTCTATTTCGAAAGAAAGAGGAAGAAGATGGGGAGTCCAGATCAAACACACACACCCTCCCCCAGGTGGAAATCCTGCTTTGGGGTCAGGACAAGGGTCCCTCTTGACCACCTCAAGCAGCAAGTGTGGGAAATGGCAGAGATTGGGGGTTGATACTGGTTACTGGGAAGGGAGCTAAGCAGCTTAATGAATAAACAGCCAGCCCGGCCAAAATGCAAACAAATCCACAATTCGGTTTTGTGAGAAGTGTTGAAGGCAACTAACTGTAGTGTTTCCAGAATGGGGTAGGGGGTTGGGGGTGGGGTAGGGTGAATCCTTGATAGCTGAATGTTATCAGGGCTCTTCGTGGCTTGTTAGGGCCACGAGAATGTGTGAATTGTGTGTGCTTTCTAATCAGATAAAATAAACCCATATAATCCAGATGTCTTCCTTCCCTCTCTCTCCTCTGTTGTTTCCCCTTTCCAGGCCCTCCCTGGTTGTGCAAAAAAAAAAAAAAAGCACAAAGCGTGGTGGTGTTTTGCTTGTTCTGTTGTTGTAGTCCTTTGGGGCCCGCTCCATATTAAAGTTTTCTTGGCAAGGTTGTCGGAAGTGGTTTGCCTGGGTTTTCCGGAGCAGCGTTGTGTTTGGGCTGCGGGGGTGGGTGGGTGGGTGGGGGTGGTTCTGCTTTCAATCCAGCACCTTCATTGTTACGGTTCTCCCAGGGAAATTAGAAAAAGGACAAGAAAACCCCACAAAACACAACTGCACATGTTGAAAGAATCCTTTGTTGATATTTAGATCGTATGGTGCAAAACTTTCCTTTTGGAGCAATCTTGGATATTTTTTTGCTGTTGTTCGTGTTTATAAGATTGTTTGCACACTCAACCAGGTTTATTTTCTAGACAAGGAGTGTCCAACCTTTAAGACTTGTGGACTTCAACTCCCAGAATTGCTGGCTGGGGAATTCTGGGAGTTGAAGTCCACAAGTCTTAAACGTTGCCAAGGTTGCACATCCCTTAACTAAAGCACGTTTGAAGGCCAGAAGGATGAGACAATATTACTTTTCTAGACAAGAGGTGTGTCCAATCTTGGCAACTTTAAGTCCTGTGGCCTTCAACTCCCAGAATTCCCCAGCTAGCCAACATGGCTGGCTAGGGAATTCTGGGTGTTGAAGTCCACAGGTTTTAAAGTTGCTAAGGTTGGACGGACGGACACACACGGACGGACACACACACACACAACCCTCTGTTCTAAGCAGAAAGTAACTAGGTTTCGAGGATGAGTAGTTTTAGTCTGCTAAATCTGGATCTCAACAAAAAGCATTTGGGGTATTTCAGAGCAGAACAACCGGAATTTCAAAAAGATTTAGTGTGGGTGGTCCCGAAAGTAATTATGAATAGGGAAACGAATAAATGAAGGAGTGTTTTAACTTTTAACGAGGGGAAGTATTTAAAGTGACATTGTAAGAATGAGATGCCTTAACTTTTGCAGTCAAGGAGGAATTCCAAGCAAGTGGGGGGGGGGGAAATATTTTCAATTTTAAGAGGGATGGGGAATCGAGTGCCAATAAAAGGAACATGTTTGTAGCGCAACCCTAAGCTTGCTTGTTTTCTTGTAGACGTTTCATTACCCTAACAGAAGGCTTTTAGCATGAATGTGATGTTCCCTCTAAAGGAAATAGAAAGCCATCAAAACAATGCGTAAAATTGGAGTTGTTATTCTAGAAAGTTTGGGCCTGAAAATGGAATTCTTCGGATAATAAAAGAAAGGGGCCCTTTAGGACAGAACATTTCAAACATTTGGCTCTCCTCTTCAACCATCTCATGGACTGGCTGGGGAATTCTGGGAGTTGAAGTCCACGCCTCTTGAAAGCTGCCAAAGTTGAGAAACTCTGGCATAGAGATAAATGCAAACAAAACTACATAAATAGAGCCAGTCCTTGTGCTTAGGCTACAGAAATGGGGTTAAAAAGGACTTTTTGAAAAGCAGAAAGAGCATTCCTGAAAGTGAGAGATGATGAGGAATGACGAAGATGAGGGTGATGAAGATGAGAGTGAAATTCTAAGCCCCCCCCCTTCCCCGTTCTTTTCTGGGGGAAAATAGTTTTGCCTGTTGCACGAACCCAGTCCATTGTGGTTCGGGCAATAAACCAAGATGAATGAAAGCTGCACTGAATTGGAACAAGGAGTTGTGTGAACACACATCTTCTGTCTGGTAAATTAAAACACCAATATGGGTGAGAAAGGAAAGGTTTTTTTGATGACAGAAGCCATCAAGTGACCTCCGGATGGGCAATATTTGTGTAAAAAGTGGCCCAGGTGTGTAAGAAGGAGTTTTATTTATTTTGAGTTTATTTTCTGGTTGAAAAAGGGGAAAAATGGACTAGGATAAGAGTTCCTCTACAATGATGAAGAGAGCCAGTTGTGCGTCTTTGCGGCCAAACAGCAGCATCTCTGACGGATGGAAATTAAATATATATATATATTTTAGCAGAGAGTTTTTGGCTACTTGGGTATGAGATAATCCATGTTTGGAAATTCCTTGTGGGATTTTGGTTTGTAGGAATGAGGAGAAAAAAGAATTTCCCAGCCTGATCAGGAACAAACAGCTGGATCCCATAAATACATTTTGGGCAGATAAAAGTGAAATTGGGAAAAAAATTGACCGATTCAGGGTGAATCAACCATGTGATGGATGCAGTATTTCTCCTTAAGGTATTAACAGAGATAAACACCTCGGTTCACATGAGTGGCTGCAGAAAAGTGAGCCTTGCTTGGCTTGGTCATTGGCAAACCATGGTTTATGGCTCAGCACAGATGGATACGCTATCCAGCGGGGATGAGTTGATGGACTAAGAATTAAACAAACTATGGTTTAGTAAAATATGTCAGGCCACCCTGTTGACTTCCTTGTGGGCATCTTAAGAATTCCTGATAGTTGTAGCCTCCACGTTGTGTGTCATAGTGGCTCAGTGTGGTTTCAAACTCAGTTTCGGGGAAGCCTGGAGGATGTGTGCATGTATTATGTGTGTCACAAACACGAGTGCTTTGGAAATAGAGAAAGGAAGCAAATAATTCCCAAGAGTTTGTTAATCTCTCTCCGTCCTAAGATAATTTTCAAAGGGATGATTGCTATTTTTGCAAAGTTGCAATGAAACTGAAGTTTGGGCCGGCTGCATTTTCCCAATAAGGTGTCTCATTTTTGCCTTACCTGGAATTGTTGGGAGTTGCTGACCAGCAAATTAGACCTTGATTGTCAGATAGATTCACTTCTGCTTGCTATTTGCATCAGTTTTGCAATTGAATTTATTGTTAAAATAGCCTAGAGGCGCTCCAGTCTGATAGGCAGTATAAAAATCTGCTAAATAAAATAAAAACAAACATGGAAAGAATAAGCAGATAGATGGCCCAGAACAAGTGTGGTGGGCAGATGGAGAAATGTAGATGGAGAAATTTGCCAAATAAATAAACAAAAATTAAAGTCGAAAGAACAGGGAGAGAAAAAGGTGGCTCAGATACACACACACAAGTATGATGGGCAGTATGAAAATTTGCTAAATGCATAAAATAAAAATAAATGTGGACAGAATAGGCAGAAGATGGTTTAGATGCATACAACTGTAATGGGCAATGTAGAAATTTGATAAATAGATAAAATAGAATCAAATAGAATAGAATATTCTTTAATGGCCAGCTGTGATTGGACACACAAGGAATTTATCTCTGGTGCCAAAACTCCCAGTGTACATACAGGCAACAAAGTAATAAATAAAACAAAACACACTTGTAAAAAAATACATTTATGGCAAAAAATAAAAAAAGCATGGATAGAATAGGCACCGAAGTGTGCTAGGCGGCATAGAAATTTGTGAAGTACATAAAATAAAAATAAATGTGGAAAGAATACGCAGATTAATTAGATGCACACAAATGTGGGCAGTGCAGAACTTTGCTAAATAGATAAAATAG